TAAGCATAGTTTACCATTTTCGACTAAACTGACTCATAAAACTGGGGAAATTTGATGAGCGTTATAAATGTGCCACTTGTATCGTACCCACCACCGCCGCTTACGTGCCGCTCAGGTTGCCGCTCACCAATCGCCGCTCGTATCGTACCCGAGGCCTAAACAAGCAAACTACAACAGTTGACTTATTCTTTGAATAACATGGGAATTTTAAATTTACAATTTATTGAATTTTCTTTGTAACTATTAGGCGCATAGTAACGGTTCAATATACTAAATTATTTGTTTTTAAGCTCTACAAAATAACTTGGAAAGAAATTGTGAAATTTTGTGTTTTTAGGGAAAAAATGGGAAACCCCTATTTCTACCCCATAAACCCGCGTCCCCATAGTCCGATCATGCTGGTTCGCGAACTAGTTCGAATAAATGTAGGTTTACACTTTTGTACCAAATTTCATCGAAATCGGATCATTTTTGCTCGAGTTATCGCGCTAACGGACACACACACACACACACAAATATATATATATATAAGTATATATATGAATTTGAACGGATGGTGTTTTTGGCTTCTAGGGACCTCAAAACGAAAAATTAAATCGGCCCCGGATCCAGGTAATACCATGAGTACTACAGTAATAGCTTATTCCCTATATGGGAAATTTGCTAAAATCATTGTTGTGTTAGCCAACAATGCTGACATGTTTTACTCTCATGACCTACTCTCAAGAAACTCAGCATAATTTTAGTGCAAAGAGGTATGGCAAACTATTAATTATTTAGCAATTACTTTTAATGAATGTTTTGACTATATTAAAAAGACAAATTATAAAGTGATGGATTTTTAATTATGCCAAGCATGCATGGATTTTTTATGATCAGGATTGAAATATTGTAAAGTCTTGGAATATGTTTAGAAATGCTTATAAAAGGTGAATTAATTAACCAGATGCTGTATTGGCTGTATTTCAATTTATTTGAGCAACAACGTAAGTCATGGAGGAATGTAAAATATTAAAAGTATAGTAGGATTTTAAATGTTATTTTGGGAAAAGTGAACAAATTTAATGTTTTATAAAGTAAAATACAGTGTTTATTTAATACAGTAGTAAACATGGCGAATAAACAGTACTGTAAATTTAATACAGTATACAATAAAGAACTGCTGTACTGTGTATAGAGTACAGCAATGAGGGGTTCGGATTAGTGAACGTTCGGATTACGGGGGTTCAGATTAAAGAGGTTCTAATGTACTGTTTGTTTGAAACCAGTTTTTTTTATGGTTGTGAAACAGTTATAAAGCTGATTTAAATTTTTTGTGGATACGTTAATTTTGAAAGGAATGAATTTGGAAGTTACATTTTATTTTAAATACAAGTAGAATATTTGTTCAAGTGTGGAATAATTATTTATTTGCTTTTTTACTTTGAAGGGAAAAATAATACTTTGTCTTAACATTTATAAATTAATGCTAAGGTGTCACAAGCTAAGAAACAGTCTTTATTTATTTTTTCTGATTATTTGCTATAAAAAAATATTGTCCGACTATGAATATTTTGCTCGATACATAATTGCTAAATGCGTAAGTTTCTGAAATAATATAATGTGTTTTGACAAAAGTATGCTTATAATTTATGCACAATCTATAATTTATTAAATTCATAGTAGATGTCTTGTAATTAATTTTTTACATTTTAGAATGTTATGTGGACACAATTGTACAGCTTTAGTATTGTTAAATATTGTCTTGAGCTTAAAGTGACTAAATATTTAATTATTAGCAGGGAAACTGTGAAATACTATTCTAGCTAGGACCATGTTTTATCACATGATAATAATTAAGTTAAAACCACAATATCCTTTACCAAATGAATATCTTGCTATTGCACAGGGAATGATTACTTTATCTGTAAACATTGAGAATTTAACCTTATTAATTTACAAGAGACAAATTAATTTACAATAAATGAGGACAGCTATTTATTAAATGTTATTTATTTGTTTTGGTTTTGACTATTGTGCACAACTGATATTGTCTGATGTTATATTTTATCCAATTGTATGCAATATACTGTAAATTAAGTACGTTACAGGGTCTTTACGAGGCTCTACCAACATCTTGAGGTCACAGTCACCGTCTACTCATTTGGACCTCTACCTAGCAAACCCATTGCTCTTGTGGGGTAAACCTATTGCTGATCGGTCCATCCGCGGCTGGATATCATGCGGTTCGCATTTCGGGCCCAGTTGAGATGGTAAAACCTATTTGTCAAGCAAGACTATTGTGGTGAGTGACACTTAAATCTTTGGACTCCGTGCGATTAGAATTCCAGCTACTTGACCTACTCTTCATCCAGGATCGGACTTTGTCACATTTGATTGTTTTCAGTGATAAAGTGGTTCTTACTGCTTTCTGCAATGGAATAATTACTTTTTGATCTTTAGGAAACTGATTTAGAAATTGTATTTAGATATTTAAACTATACATTTTTGAGAATTTATTTGGATTTTAGTAATTCTTTCTGATAATAGTTTATTTAATTTTCTGATAAGCCTATACTCCTGAGACTTTGGTAAAACTGATTGAGGCTGGATATTCTTTTGTTAATTCTATTTAGAGGATTCAATTAAATTTTAAAGGAATAAATTTTTTTTCTTTGTAATATAAAGCCTACAATTTGAAGCCAATAAATATTTTCTTTTTAATTATACAATTTTGCTATATTTAATATTCCTGTGGATAACTTTAGATTTTTACTGAATTTTATTAAGTTAATCATTTAGACTACCTTGTATACCATAAATGTGCAATCAATGCATGTTTGGTAAAGTAAGTTTACAAAGTTTGCCATACCAAGTGAGGTGTGTTGGTTCCTGCAACCTGGGACGGAGTCGACTCTTCGTGATCGTCCGATCGAATATTCCCTGCTTGAAGTGGCGCCCTTAACATATTCACTTTTGCAACCAATTTGAAGGAAAATAGTAACTAAACCTCATTTGGTGAAAAGAACCCTACCATCTCCCTAAGCTGGCTGGGACATTTGGAGGGTGGCATACTTATTATACACAATGTTATTTAAATTGGGATTAATAACATGATTAAAAGTCCTTGGAGCCTACATGTTCTAACTCATAAAACAATTAAAGAACTACAAAGAAAATTTCTAATCTCACAGTATACTAGATATTTAATAATCACTTTGGTGTTTAAAAAAATATGTCTGGCAATAAATTACTCTTTGGCAGCTGTTTGAAATAATCCAAGATGGCCGCTAGCCACTAGCCTCCAAGGCATCCTAAGGAAAGATTCAGTGGAAATCCGATTAGGCTAGTGGAAAATTGCATACTATGCAGGTTTGCTGCAGTGAGGGTATCTTAGAGTGTCCATAAATCACAAATTTACCTAAAATAAATTTTATATAAAAGTTACCACTGATGAAATGAAAAGTAATAGATTTTGAAAAACAAATATTATTTGAATAGTAGAAACCTTGCGACAATTTTGACTGCCCCGTCATGTCTTCCACAGTCATACGAAATATCTGATATAACTTGTAAGCAAGACGTGACATAGTAGAGAAGAAGGGGTCAGATGCCGAACCATAAAAATCGTCAGGACATATAAGACACACCCAAAACTTATAAACTTATGTAATTAAACTTTTAAATTAGGCAATCAAAGATACCAGATGTTAAAGGCTTGTCAAATAATATTAATTTGGCAGCGAGAATGGAGGATGTCCAGAGTCACATCTTATCATGTCACCTGCAGTCATCAAGTAGGTATGTCAGATGACGATGGCCAAGGTTGTCAAGCAGGCCGTGACTGTGGCAAGCTTGTCCACGATCAATGTGGCGGCGTGAATGGTGCGGGTCCAACACAATGTTATCTAGTCATGCAGTCATCAAGTATGTCAGATGACGATGGCTAAGGTTGACAAGCAGGTCTTGGATGCAGCAAGCTTGTCCACGATCAATGTGGAAGCGTGGATGGTGCGGGTCCAAGGTCACAGTGTTAGCCTATCTTGTCATTGCAGTCATCAAGGATGTCAGATGACGATGGCTAAGGTTGAAACGCAGGTCTTGGATGCGGCAAGCTTGTCCACGATCAATGTGGAAGCGTGGATGGTGCGGGTCCAAGGTCACAATGTTATCTTGTCATTGCAGTCATCAAGGATGTCAGATGACGATGGCTAAGGTTGTCAAGCAGGCCGTGACTGTGGCAAGCTTGTCCACGATCAAAGTGGAAGCGTGGATGGTGCGGGTCCAAGGTCACAATGTTAGCCTATCTTGTCATTGCAGTTATCAAGGATGTCAGTTGACGATGGCTAAGGTTGTCAAGCAGGCCGTGGCTGTGGCAAACTTGTCCACGATCAAAGTGGAAGCGTGGATGGTGCGGGTCCAAGGTCACAATGTTAGCATATCTTGTCATTGCAGTTATCAAGGATGTCAGTTGACGATGGCTAAGGTTGTCAAGCAGGCCGTGGCTGTGGCAAGCTTGTCCACGATCAAAGTGGAAGCGTGGATGGTGCGGGTCCAAGGTCACAATGTTAGCTTATCTTGTCATTGCAGTTATCAAGGATGTCAGTTGACGATGGCTAAGGTTGTCAAGCAGGCCGTGGCTGTGGCAAACTTGTCCACGATCAAAGTGGAAGCGTGGATGGTGCGGGTCCAAGGTCACAATGTTAGCATATCTTGTCATTGCAGTTATCAAGGATGTCAGTTGACGATGGCTAAGGTTGTCAAGCAGGCCGTGGCTGTGGCAAGCTTGTCCACGATCAAAGTGGAAGCGTGGATGGTGCGGGTCCAAGGTCACAATTTTAGCCTATCTTGTCATTGCAGTCATCAAGGATGTCAGTTGACGATGGCTAAGGTTGTAAAGCAGGCCGTGGCTGTGGCAAGCTTGTCCACGATCAATGTGGCAGCGTGAATGGTGCGGGTCGTGTAGCTGCGCGGTGCGCGCACACTCAACCACCTCCGCCTCATTGATCTACTGAGAGCACCGCACAGTGACTCGTACCAGTCGTCACACTCCTACGTCAGTAAAAACTTACCGGTTGTCGTTCTTTGTGAGTTTTTGTATCTCGTTTTTCGTGTTTGGCGTAAGTAAATATTATTAGTTTAGTTAATAGAACCTAATAGTTAGATTTTAAGTCACGTTTAATACATTAATTGCTAGCTAAAAGAATAAAAAGGTTGTCTGTGAATCTAATAGAAGAGGGAGTGTTGAAGTGACCCTGGTATTCATGGACACTATATTTACGGTCAAATTTCCCCGAAGTCGAGTGAGTAATTCTATACTTGGAACATTATTTGATTCTCGTTATTGCCTGAGTAAACGTAGTATATCGAACTAGTTAAACGCTGCTTAATACTGAGCAATTTATCAAAATTTGTTTTGGCTAAAACATTATCCAGGGGGTTTTGATATGACAGTTTCAATATAAATAATATAATTCCAGTTAGTCTAATGTTGGATATTTTGTAGGCTATAAATGTTTGGTGTACTTCGGTGTCAACCTATCCTTTTGAACCAACTTGGCATTTTGTTATTTAAATACTTTGTGTGATTTAAATACTATATGTCAAGTACCTAGAGTAGTCTAATACTGGCAAATACGAAGGACTATTTGAATGAGTTCATTGACTTCAGGAAAACAATAAAGAAAATAAGAAAACAAAGAAGGCAGATTATTTTGTTTAGTAAATAGCATTATTTCGCCAAAATGACGCAAAAGAACACTAAACCAATCGTAAAAATTAACAATTGACACTGCACCAAACTATTTACTTACATATAATATATGAAGTACGTCTGGATTTATATATTTTCATTACATTCCATTCTTTTGGGATAGATGTGGTAAAATAAAAATCCTCCCTACAATAATAAACCTTACAAAAATATATAATGCAAAAATAAAAATATCTATACTCTGCTTAGCAAAATTGTTAAACTAAATAATAGATAGGCCTAGTCAAATTTACCAAGAAACCTTAGTTCATTCATTGACGTGTAAGATAGAACCACTCTGTTATTGATAATTTTATTTTTGATTTCAAAATTACAATGTTTTTTTTAAATTTGTTAATTGGGTTTACCAACGTTTGAAAATGTTATATTTAGTTATAAACTACTATGAACTGCTTATATATAAGTATAAAACGAATAATAACATATCTTAAAAGTTATAATAAATGCTAAACCTTGGTTGCAATCCATTTTTCCAAAAAATTAAACATTTTTCGAAATCCCCGAGATTTAGATGAAATATTAATTTATCCTAAGACATAAAGTATAGTAGTAAGCTATGGACATGTAGTTTAAAAGCACTCGGCACTAGGCAAAGTTAACTCTCAATGTTAAGAGTAACCACTCACAAACAGTATTTTTGGAAACTCCCTTGAAGTGTTACTTACTTTGATGTACTTTTTAAAAATAGTAATGATTAGCTACTATGTAGTTAGCTTAAGTTAATTATAATTTTGTAACAATCATACCTTATTTTTGAGACAATTTCAAGGAGTATAGTAACAATGATAGTGCTCATAAAATACGCCAACAGACAACGATTCTAAATTCTAAATGGTTTTGGTCTCTCCAAGGCTACTCAAGCGATTTTTGTGTTGTACGTCTTTAAGAGAACATTGTGTCAATGTTGTTTAAGTAATTGCGTGATTTTTAAGTACATTATGTAAATATTGCTTGAACAATTGCGCAATTCTCAAATACATTCTGGTAAATTTTGTTTGAAGATTTGGGAAACTTATAAGTAAATATTGTTTGAGTAGAACTGTAGTAAGTTCATAATGTTAGATGTTGTGTTTGCATTGCACAACCTTTAGATACATTGTTGAACGTTGTTTGGACAACCGCACGGCTTGGATGTCGTAGGCGCAATATTCATGAATAGTATTCAATAAATATTTTGTTATACTGGATTGAATTAAAATAGATTATGTATGTTCCCATTAATCAAAACCATAAAATTGGGTTGTGAATTAAAAAGATGGTTTTTTTCTTAGTAGACATGGGCGTCCATCTAGATTTTACATAATGGAGGGCAGGGGGTTCGGAATAACCCCCCGTATAGAGGGGAGAAAATGGTTGCAGTTTAGGTACAAAATGGTTGAGTTTACGCAATTTTGTACCTAAATTTGCTTTGTCATTTTATTTTTTTACAGTAAAATCTAAAGATTTACGTTTATATTGATGGGCGCCCATGCTAGTATTGTTGTTTAGTGACATAGTTATAATTAGTACACCTATGAGTCGCGCTTATCAGTCCTTTAAATATCTCTGACTATACGGAGTCAGCACAGTTGCAGACAACTAAAAACATCCAAATCAGCATTAAAAATCAAGTAAATTTTTTAAATATCGGTGATAAGTTTTATTGAAAAAAATCAACCCCATTGTGTTTAATAATGTAAAATATATTTTTTATGCAGTACAGGATCAGTTCAACAAAGCTTCCCTTTGGACTAATTTTACAGAAAACTTTAAATTCGGAATGTTAGTATATACTATTAAAACTACTTAAGTAGTTAAACTCATATAACGGTTGGATGCAGAAATAATGACTTAGGAAATCTTAAATGTCATGTAAAATAAAACTGTTCATAAAAATTGCGGTTTCTATAAGAAGTTTTTAGGGTTTCCTTTAAACTTAAAAATTGCAGTAAAATTTAAACATTAGAATGACTTAATCCTAATAATGTAAGACTTTACATTCAAATTTGATGTAAAATTACACTTTTTGACTTATCTTGATAGTCATGGCGTTAGGCGTTCATGCTGTGTAATGCTCCCTAATCTTAACTACGGGTTGTCAGCTGAACAGCAAAATCATGGCAGCACCAAATTACCTATGTTTAAATTGGGACTTTTATGCAGAACAAAGAAAAAAAAGAACATACAGGGTGTTTTTTTAACGCAACCCAAATTACAGGTACCGTGAGACACTATTTAACGACAAAAAAATTAAAGGTACGTTGATATCCCTGTTTTCTTTACTTCATTACCAATCAGCTGATGCTTGTCGCAGACTTATCAATGAGGTTTAGTCTTATTGGGAATTTATTGTTACATGGTATTTTCGCAAACTAAAATAGAGTATATGTATGGTTTGAAATTAAGTTTCTAGGTGTGATTCCAGTACCAAACAAATTAACTATTCATTGACTTGTCAACAATTTACGGAAACCGGATCTGTTTTAAACAGCAACGAAAAACGTAGACCTACAATACTTACTTCTATTTGAGCTTACGGAAAGTACATGTTGAATTTAAAAGTTATTTTAATTCGTGGATGTTTTTTCCAAATGTATTTTTATCTACTTACTTTAAATTGTGACTATTACCGTGCCAAATTGTCGTTAATTAGGTAATTTATTCGTGTTTCCCCCAATTAATTCAGGCTAGGTACCATATATAACAGAACTCCTTATAACTAATTTATATAAATTTAGCATGAAATTAACCAAACATTCACTCAATTGTGTGTAATTCTGGAATACTTGTTTTTACTTACAATTAACAATATGTAGAAATATACAAACATTCATAGGCGATACAGTTGATATGTATATTCGTATGTTATATTCATCTCTACGAAATACAAATTGTTAAGTTTCTAGTTAAAACAAATTATAGGCCCCTACTCTTTACTTGAGTAATTATAAAAAGTAAAATTATAGTCTCAAGCTATAGTAGTCATATTCGAGTTGGTTCACTATTTCATAGTTTTGTGTGTAACAAATAGACGCAGTAAAACATTGTCTACGTCATGATTACACATCTGTACGATTGCTAGGCTTTGTTACATTTTTATCGAGCGCGTCGAACAGTAATTTATTTTCATGTAACTTCTCTCAATCGGGACCACAACTTCTCTGCAATTACAATTGTTACAACATTATTTCACACTATGTATTATTAATCGGACGATGTAATCTAAAAAGGATTATTTTATGTAACAGAAACTTTTTCTTTAGTTTTTCAGTTTAAAACAACACAAAACTGATTGTTCGTATGGGAATGACGAACTAGCTTAACATTACGACGAGCAGGGGTTACTGCGGCATTAGAATATACCACAGTAACCTCTGCTCGTCGTAAGAGTCGACTAAAAGAGGGGGGAGCGCACCCATTTTTTAGCGTCTCCTCTGCATACCAACATTTCCCGTTTAAAATCAATATACCAACTTTTTTTAAATCACTCTAGTCTATTCTTCTGTATGGCTCTGTGTCCTTTTGTCTCCCAATGCGTTGAACGTCTATTCAGGTAGAGAGTACAGGCTAAAAACTAGGTCTTTCTTGCACATCCCAGGCTGCCGGATAGTACAGGGGCCCGGGTCAGAATTGCCGGCAATGACCTGGCTGTCCTATCATCCGGCGAAAATCTCTTTGGCCGTAGTAGTGCCGGATTGCACCAGTATAGGGCCCTGTTGCGGCCTTTTTGCGGTTAGGGCTCTGCCGAGATGTAGTAACACTTCGGCCCAGTAACATTTCGGCCAAACTCAAATTTCTTAGAAAAACAGTATCACTTCGTCCCACTTGCTTTTACAGATGATTAAATAAGCTAATGGAGTAACATTTCGGCCCGACGAAAAATTGACAAGGGTTGAGGAACGCAGTTCAGGTAGTAAGAGGTACATGACCTGTATACTTTGCAACCACCCTCTGGTGGAATGTCGCCCAACCGTCACCAATTGCATCCTCTGACCTCACATGACGGAGAATCGGTGGAATCTTACCTTACCTAACCTAACCTAACATAACCTAACCTAACCTAACCTGTCAAATATTTTGTTGGGACGAAGTGTTACTAGTGGGCAGGTAGAGAGTTGGACCGTAGGTCACATCTGAGGGTTGCGGGCCGAAATGTTACTGGGCCGAAGTGTTACTTGGGCCGAAGTGTTACGACACGTCTGCCGAGGCCACTGCATTGTCTGGGGCGTTCTGGGTTTTGGGGGACGCAGGGCATGGAGTATAGCCGTGCATGATGTGAACCAGGGTGACATTCTCACGAGGGCACAGCATATTGAATTGAAACAATTGAAAAAATGGCAGAACACAACCAAAAAGAAAACTTTTCAA